ACTTAAAGCTTCAATTTAGGATGATTACAGCAAACTGATTGTGTTCATTCAAAAAAAAAAGATTTGCAGACAGAAAATAATCTCAGTATGAGTTTCAGATGTTAGATTTTCCAAACTCTGACTATAGATTGTAAATGAAGCAGAAGTCTTACATGTATAGTAAATCTATAGCATATGTATGAAGCCAGACTGAGAATCTTGAACCTAAAAATACCAAAGAGATTCCACATCATTTTAACGAAGGTCTGTTTAGTGCAGTGAGTTCAAATCAGAAAAACATGTGAGGCAGAGTAGGTCAAACTATTCTTTTTTGCTCCTCCCTTGTTGTAAAAAAACAATGTTCGTATTAAACCTATTACTATTGACGGTAAAGAAAAGAGGAAGCGAGTGTGTTTTTTGCTTTAACTCTTTAGTCAAAAAACATTCTCAGGACTTTCTGGCTACACTTCATCATGGCTCTTTTGTTTTCGGCACAAATAAAAAAAATAACCAAAACAACTGCGTCAGTCTCCTGTGCTTCCCACCTGATCTGTACTATACAGGCACATAATTGGTCATAAACACTTTGGTCAACTATCGATCAATAGCAACATGTGTATCGAATCTGGAAAAGGGAAATAAGTACATGTGAATGTGTAGTTGTGTTTTTTTTAGTGTACTCCATGTTTCCTTGCCTTACAGTTGAATTGATTGCATTTTGTTTTTTATGACATATTTATTATGTAGAAATCCAAACAATCAAAGTAAGACATTTTTCTGGATAATTCCTGGGGGCCAGTTGCTACAAAATATCCCTGCCTAAAGATGCACATAGACAATTATGAATTACTGAGTTATCACCAAAGTTATAGATTTAGCACGGTGACAAGTAAGTGCCAACGTAAACAAGATGCTGGTCAATAGTGCCATCTGACAGGTTTTCTTTCACCATTCTTCATTTCATTGCCAATATTGTCAGTCGACAGCAAGCTGCAGTTTAATAAGTAAGAAAGCCCACCACAGTTTGTTTCAATTTCTCTGAGGCAGTTAATTCTGAAACAAGTCATATGAACCCCTGGCTGTATTGTACAGCTTTTCATGACTGCATGTTAAGTAGCTCTCTGCTTGGCATCCCTTATTTTCAAAGCAAAGAATATTTTAAAGAAGGGTTTACAACTCAGATTCAATGAGCAGGGATTCCCCCCCAAAAATGATCAGCGCAGGACATTAGATGAGCTCTCAGCTTGGCAAATCATGAAGAATATGGAAAACTGCAGCACGACAGCAAAATCAGCAGTGGTAGCATTAAGAAACTTTAGAAAGGCATGGACTCACTAAATGACTCCAACTTGCTATCTTTTTCTAAATGAATGTGGGTGTGCATGTTTGTCTGGGAGGAAGAAAGAGAAAAGGGGAACAATTATCCTCAGCAGCTTCAATTTAGCGCATTGTTTGGGCTCCCACGTCCTATTTCCATTAGACGGAAGGACAACGACTGGCTGGCGCTTCCACTCTGTACAATCTGATTGGCTATTGTTTTGGTGCGAAGTGTGATTGGCTGGGTAAGTGGCTCACATTTTATTGAAACACTCCTTGGCGTTGGACCACACCTGGATTCCCTGAAAGGCAAACAGAAAAAAAGAGAGATTAATAGGACCACCACAACAATTGATGAGTGCAACTGATGAATTACAAACAACAAAATACCTAGTGTACGAGAGCAAACAAGCTGAACTCCCTACCTTCTTACACATGCTGATCTGCATAATGGCATAGCTGATTAGTGCTTCACGCAAATCTTTGTCCTTCTGCTCCTTAAACAGTTCGATGTCTGCCCAGGCTGTTTGCAAAAAGTCTCTGAGGGTACAGGGAAAGAAACATGCCATCATGGCTTAGTCTGTGTGCAGCAGGAAGAACTTAAATATTACAAACTGAGGGACCATAAAGCAGATTATATAAGTACATACAGAAAAAAGAGAGTGAAAGGGACAGACGTAGGAGACACACAGTGGGGGATGTTTCGACAAGTGCAGAGGACTGACTAAATGCTTTTGCACTTACCGACACTCTTTGTTCTTCTCCAATACGGCCTCCTCCCCCTCCTGTATACTCTGCTCCAGGGCTGCCAGCCTACTCTCCCTCTGCTCCTGAGTGTCCTGGCCAAATAGTTTACTGGTCATCCCTTTCAGAGAAAAGATTCGTACTGTCTACACACACAGACAAAAAGATAAACACACATTAGAATTCAGCATCATTTATACTTATACATCCATATGCACTTTCATCAAATTGCATGGCAAAAATATTTTTTACACAAAAATAATTCTGTTGGTTAAAATATGGGGCTAATGCCGACATGGTGTGTGTGTGTGTGTGTGTGTGTGTGTGTGTGTGTGTGTGTGTGTGTGTGTCGGTGTGTCGGTGTGTGTGTGTGTGTGGGCACAG